CTCGTAAAAGGGCAGGAGTTTGTCTGGTTTGGATAAAAGGAGGCTGAGGAGCAACCTCATCACCCTTGACAGCTTCCTAAGGAGGGGAATTGGAGAGGGAGGTATTGATCTTCTCTCCCTGGGACCCAGGGACAGAACACGTGGGAATGGTTCAAAGCTATGGCAGGGAAGGTTTAGACTGGACACTGGGAAGCATTTCTTTACCAAGAGAGTGGTAACACACTGGAACAGCCTCCTAGAGAGGTGGTCAATATCCCAAGCCTGCCAGCGTTTAAGAGGCATTTGGTGCCTTAATGCTTTTGATAACACGCTTATACTTTTAGTCAGCCCTGAAGTGATCAGGCAATTGGACTAGATGATAGTGGTAGGTCCCTTCCAATTCAACTCAGATATTCTAGTCTAACCTAGTCTAGTCTAGCCTAGTCTACTCTATCCTGCTCCGCTCCATTCCATCCCATTCTATCCCACCATCATGAGAAAGTTCCTTCTTGTACAAATATGAAGGTGTGTGACCTCCCCATGTCTTGGGTGTCATTCATCTAGCTAATGTTCCTCTGGTGCTCAAGAATCTGCCATGCTCATGGCATGCAGAAAGGGAACTAACAGAGTTCCTTTGAGAGTCAGCAAATACATTAACCACCTAGGAGATGCTCAGTTTGGAAAAAGATTTTAACCTGCATACAGGATCCCTTTAACCCTGCTCCAAACCGTTATTAAGGCTGTGTGGAGACCTCATAGAAGCCTTCCAGTATCTGAAGGGGGCCTATAGGGATGCTGGGGAGGGACTCTTCATTAGGGACTGTAGTGACAGGACAAGGGGTAACGGGTTCAAACTTAAACAGAGGAAGTTTAGATTGGATATAAGGAAGAAATTCTTTACTGTAAGGGTGGTGAGGCACTGGAATGGGTTTCCCAGGGAGGCTGTGAATGCTCCATCCCTGGCGGTGTTCAAGGCAAGGTTGGACGAAGCCTTGGGTGACATGGTTTAGTGTGAGCTGTCCCTGCCCATGGCAGGGGGGTGGAACCGGATGATCTTAAGGTCCTTTCCAACCCTAACTATTCTATGATTCTATGATTCTATTGTCATTATTATTTTCATTTAGGCTTGATGACATATCACAAGAGTTCCAGAAAGGACCATAATGCAGGTTTGGTCAACTTCACCCTGACACAAGGAGAGGGAGAACAGACTACAGAGAATAACAGCGTGGGATATGTGGCAGAAGAATTGGATATCAGGCAGATAGCAAATCGTAATTTGATGTTTATCTTTTTTAGCAGTTAAGATCTTGTATTGTGAAAAGTTAGATTGCAAAACATGAAAGCAAAGAGCTGCAATACTGTCAATGCCCAACTTTATATTTAAGGGGAGTACCAGCCAATAAGACAAGTAGCTTTGTCTTCAGATTACTGGAGCTGCTTATACCAAATGTATTGTTTCGTTGTGAACACTGGCTGATACAATAGCAATTATTACTATTATCAGCATTTGTATCAGAGTATGTGTACAGCCTGATACAATAGCATTATTACTATTATCAGCATTTGTATCAGAGTATGTGTACAGGCTGATACAACAGTAATGCCATGAGTGCCACACAACCCATGTAATGATCAGTTCCCTCTCTGCAGAGGTTGTGGCTCATTCTTAAGTAATTAAAGCTTCAGTTATCCAAGGGGTTGACATGCATCCATTAACAGCCTGGCTACCATTTTAGGTGCTTGAGGGTAGGTTTTCAAACCTAAAGCTTCAGTTAAGCTGTTGCCTGTCTCCTGGAATCGGCACATTCCCTGCGCTGTTCAATACCTCTCACTAACATTCCCAAACACCAGTTCCTGAATCATGTACAAGTTGTTTTGAGGTTGTTTTTAACATCACTGGTGGCAGTCTAAGGGCACACACATCTTTCACCCAGTCACAAAGCAAACTGGGGGGCAGTCGAGTGGCTGGGTGCCTTAATGTCCTGAAAACCTCAGGGGAAAAACCTTTTCTCATACTGATCCAGTGGTAGCTGCAGCTTTGCAACGAAAATGACATGAAAAGAAGGTAATTTTCTATACAAGACAAGGGGAATGGCTTTAACCTACTAGAGGGGAGACTGAGAGGAGCTCTTAGGCAGAAGCTCTTCCCTGTGAGGGTGCTGAGGCGCTGGCACAGGGTGCCCAGAGAAGCTGTGGCTGCCCCATCCCTGGCAGTGTTCAAGGCCAGGTTGGACACAGGGGCTTGGAGCAAGCTGCTCCAGTGGAAGGGGACCCTGCCCATGGCAGGGGCTGGAACTGGATGAGCTTTAAGCGCCCTTCCAACTCAAACCAGGCTGTAATTCTATGATGTTGCTGAAGCTTTTTAACTTTGTTCAGGATTTTAGGGTCAGAGGAAGCAGCTAACAAGGCGCGACCATAGGACAAAGAGGGGCTGGATTCTTCCTCCTTTTCTGCTGAATATTCAATATTGAGTATTCAGTGTGGAAGGAACAAGTTCTGCTGTGCTCCTGAAGGTGTATACTGGAGATGGCTTATCTCCAGTGTTATAAAACATATTCTGTAAGAAGAACCAAACATAGAATTACAAAACCATAGAATGGTTTGGGTTGGAATGGACCTTAAGATCATCCAGTTCCAACCCCCTGACTTGAGGGACAGCAAAGCCCAGGAGCAAGAAGGAAAAGCTTCTTTCTAACTGCCTACTATGACAGGGGAGAAGCAAAGAAACAGATCAATGATGATGGTTATTAAACTTCTTTTTAAGGCATCTTGTTGCAGTGGGTATCATGGGGAGCTGGGCTGAGAAATCAATTTTAGCCTTTTCACATGTTATTATAAAGGAAAAGAGCCATAAACGCTATTTTAACAACTTAACTCTGACAATGATGTGAGATTTCTCCTGGTTCTTTGGATCACTATTTCTAACTTGCAATACAGACTGCAGAACTATTTGCAAGTGAGAACTTTCCTACCCCAAGCAGACTCAAAAGCAAAACAGCACCGAGGAAATAAGCTGCAAGTAGACGTGTGAGAAATGTCACAAATACATAGGAATTAATTCTAAAGAAATACTGCAAACCATCACAGAACAGTCACTCAGACAAATTAATCTCACCTTTGATTATATGCTTTGAAAACTCTCTTGTGTGCTCCTCCATTGGGGTTGATGCTGATGTGTGCTTTAATGTGTGGTTTTCCATGGAATAAAGAAATCATAGAATCATAGAATGGTTTGGGTTAGAAAGGACCTTAAGATCATCCAGTTCCAACCCCTCTGTCAAGAGGCAACACTCAACAGGAACACCTCACACTAGACCATGTCACCCAAGGCTCTGTCCAAACTTGCCTTGAACACTGCTAGGGATGGAGCATTTACCACTTCACTGGGCAACCCGTTCCAGTGCCTCACCACCCTTAGTAGTGAAGTAAAGTACTTCTTCTTTACCTCCAACCTGAACTTCTCCTGCTTCGGTTTGAACCCATCACCCCTTGTCCTATCACTACAGTCCCTAATGAAGAGTCCCTGCTTGGCATCCTTACAGGCCCCCTTCACACACTGGAAGCTGCTCTGAGGTCTCCACGCAGCCTTCTCTTCTCCAAGCTGAACAGCCCCAACTTTCTCAGCCTGTCTCCATACAGGGGCTGCTCCAGCCCCTGAGCTCCTCATGGGCTCCTCTGGACTTGCTTCAACAGCTCCCTGTCCTCCTTAAGTTGAGGACACCAGAACTGCTCACAGTGCTTCAAGTGGGGTCTCACGAGAGCAGAGTATCATTGACTTAGTTGTGGTTTTACAATATTTTCAAGACTTTGTGGTCTGTTTTGACAAGAGAAAATGATGTGAATGCTATGGCTGTTCAGAAAGAGAAGAAAAGCTGACACAAGGGTTGTCTTACAATCAATACTCATTTCCCTGAGTCCCAAGTCAATAGTTTACATACAAATTTTACCACCAAGAAGAGGGCAGGGTGTGGGGAAGAAAAAGCAGTTTCACAATCTGCCATCAGAACTTGGCATCACATTTTGTGTGTTCATCCCAGACTTAGCCAAGGCAAGGGAAGCATCAGGTTCTGGGAAGAGGATTAGGTTTCCTGAGGGAGGGCACTAAGGAGGCCTCCCCCTCCCTGACCTCTTCCTGCTGTGGGTGCTGGAGAACTGGAAATACTGGAATATGGGTTTTAACCAGGTTCTAGTATAATGTTGAGATCTTAGCTGATGTGTCCAGCAGGTCAAGGGAGCAAGAGCAGCTCTACTGTGCTCTGTGAGATCCCCCCTGCAGTCCTGCATCCAGCTCTAGGGCAGCAACACAAGAGGGATGTGGAGCTGCTGGAGCAAGTCCAGAGGAGGCCATGGAGATGCTGCGAGGGCTGGAGCAGCTCTGCTCTGGAGCCAGGCTGAGAGAGCTGGGCTGGGGCAGCCTGGACAAGAGAAGGCTCCTGAAGGGGAGACCTGAGAGCAGCTCCAGTGCCTGAAGGGGCTGCAGGAAACCTGGAGAGGAGCTTTGGACAAGGGCCTGTAGGGACAGGACAAGGGGAATGGCTTTAACCTGCCCGAGGGGAGACTGAGATTCAGTTATTTGCATAGGGTTTGTTTGTTTGGTTTTTAAATTAGGCATAAGAATGTGCATAATTCATGTTTCTTTCCAGGGGGCTCATGGACCGTAACGTCCAAACTAAGCTGCAGTATGATATCATTTTCGGGGTTGACAGCAGGTTAATCAGAGGTGTATTTTAAGCGAGGTTTTCCCTATCAGGAGCCCGGTAACCCTGTGCTGGGAACAGAACGAGCAACCCCTCAGCTGTCGGATACCCCTTACCTGTAGTAGCTGCTACTCTGTGCAAGCTGGGGTTACGCTGGAGCTGTGAAGGAGCAGTTTGGTGGCGGGGGGGGGGGCAGGCGCGGATGCTGCAGGGGCTCTCCCCGCAGCCCTTCTCTTTTCCCGGAATGCCGGGATGGGGCGGGAAGAGGGCGGAGGCCGGGCGTGCCCCACCATTATATGGATGGGGAGCGGGACGGGAGGAGGAAAAGAGGATGGCGCTGCCCGGGGACCCCGCTGCGGCGCCGGCGTTGCGGCGCTTCACCTGGGAGGAGATCGGGGAGCGGAACGGCCGCGGGCCGGGGCCGAAGGAGCGATGGCTGGTGATCGAGAGGAAGGTGTACGACATCAGCCGCTTCTGCTGGAGGCACCCGGGAGGGGCCCGTCTCATCTGTAGCCACGCCGGGCAGGACGCCACGGTGAGGGCCGCGCTCGGAGATGCGGGGTGGAGGGCGCCGGTACCCGGCCGGCACCGTGGGAGGTGACTCCGGTGGGATTTAGGGCATGGAGCAGGGTCTAGGGGTATGCAGCGTCGCTTTGTACCCCTAGGCTTTGAAGTGGAAGCTTCCCAGCCTCATCCTATGACAAATGGCAAACGAAGAGGCTTTGCAGTGGGACTGTAGCTGTTTATCCAGCTCAAGCCTTCAGGATTACTCTTTATCTCCTGATCTTGCTTCTGCACCTACTGTGAATTCCAGGGACTGCTTACAGCCAGGATAAATCAGCCCTGTGGCAAAAGTAGCTGCTTCCAGAAGCATTCCTTTAGGGAAAGCATCCCTCCAAAATGCCACCCGGCTTAACTTGGAGGGAAATCAGACATGATGCTTTCCCAAGCAGAATTCCAGAGAAGTTTCTGTAGGCACAGTATGTGGTCCTTCTGAGCCTGGAGATGAACAAAATCAAAAGGATTGGCCAGTTACAAGTGTCCAGCTGCTGGGGAGTCAGTGCGTGGGTGAAAGGACTTCTGCTCATCGTGTTTCCTGGCCTGACTGGTGTTTTGTTGCCGTGGAACCTTGTGGTAAACTCACATCAAAACGTTCAGCTGGTTCCCTGGAGTTCTTGCCTTCGGGTGCATGCAGGAAGGGTGGAAAATGGTGGTAAATTAACATCTACACAAAGATGTGACAAATGCGATTGCTGCCTTGGTGTCTATTGTAAAAGGAAAAACCCAAGACAAATAGTTCCCTGATCCTTCATATATACAGGATGTTTGAGGCTTATGGATGTAATAATCAGTGCACTAAGCTTAAATTTCAGACTCTGTATTAGAATCCCAGACTGGTTTGGGGTAGAAGGGACCATAAATAGCATTCAGTTCCAAGCCCCTGCCATGGGCAGGGACACCTTTAGTTGCACTTTGCATTCTGTATATTCCATCATTCATTTCTCTTGTTAGTACTGTCAGACTTCTTTCAGTTTTGCCCCCTAGAACTTGGAAAACACAGATATTTTGTTTCTGGGATCTGAACTGGTCCTTATAAGTTGGTCCCATGTCCAAATCATTAAGCCCTGCAAGGCTTCAGCTGCTTTTGTTTGACACCAACTCCACTGCCTTCACACATAAGTATGCAGCACCTTAAATAAGCTGTGCACCACAGTGGAAAAATGCTGGGGTATGGCTCTTTCTTAAGCATATGTGATTTATCTCCAGGTTAAGGGCTGTAAATGGCATTAATAGGGAGGGGGTTTACTTTGCTCCCAGGTGGTTATATCCACGCTGAGTTGCTGCAGGAATATAGCCAGGATATTGTAGGTGAAGTAAGAAACTCCTCCTCGTTATAAGATTAGCTTCATGAGACAGTGTGAATCCAACAAGCTCTTTAGTCAGTTTGGGAGGCAGAGACAAAAAGAACTGAAGAAAGCATTGAATAAGAAAATCCTTAAGACCTTATTGAGGTCTGTACATCTTGGAACAGGTCAATTGCTTAGGTTTTTTTGCACTTATATTCTAAAAATCTTAAGAAATTATCTTAGCTTTGGTAAATTTTATCAAGACCAAATATCACCAAAAGATAAGTTAGAAGAGGGTGGAATACACAGAAGGCTCTCAGTAAGAAGAATATGAGGAATGGAAAACTGAGTATAATTAATGCCACGTTAGTAACACTAAGTGTAACAAAACTGTGCAGAGGAGTCCTTTTATTGCTGCTTTTTGTGGTGGTGGTGCTGTGTTTTCTCACAAAGGGCAGAAGAGCAGGGTTAGTTGTGGAATGAGGACTGAGGTGACTTAGGAAACAGGAACAACAATCTTGAGACTGGAATTTTGGACTGCATTTGGAAAATTTGGTTGAATCTTCAAGCCTGTAAAAACATCTGGTGTTGCCACATTATGAAATAAGCAGGTAGATCATTTTGCAGAGAAAGTATTTGCTGGTTCTTTAGATTCATCGGTGTTGTGTTTGTGTGCACTGTATGTTACATATATGCTTCACTGTCAGCCATGTAGTTGCCCAAACCTGAGTACTTTTGGAGCAGAGGACAGAAATTCTACAGCAGTTTACTCAGAGATGTGAGAAACAACTTCATTTTATCACACAACCATTTGCCCAGAGTAACTCTGGGGCTGGAATGCAGTGAAGCACTGATTCCAGTCTGTTCAGGATGACTACGCTGAGTTGAATGGAAGATGCCATGCAAGCAGATCAACAGGTTAAAGGCGTGGATGTACAAAAGCAATTTTCCATTGTTGGAGAATCTTAAGGGAGATTTGGACTAGACATTAGGAAATCTTCCCTGTGAGGGTGCTGAGGCTCTGGCACAGGGAAGCTGTGGCTGCCCCATCCCTGGAAGTGTTTGAGGCCAGGTTGGATGGGGCTTGGAGCACCCTGCTTTAGTGGAAGGCATCCCTGCCTGTGGCAGGGGTTGGAGCTGGACGTGGTTTAGGGTCCCTTCCAACCCAAATCATTCCATGATTCCTTTCCTACAGACTGAACTCGCAGCTCAGCTCAATCTCAGCTGTGCTTCAGGGCTCCAGCTGCCCCCTTCATGCCCTGTTGTCTCCTCTGCTTTTTTGCATCCTGTCCTTTCTGCCCTCAGCCCTGCCTGGAAGCTGTCACCACTGCTTTGTCATGGTTGCATCTTCAGGAGAGATTAGCAACACCAGGCCTGTGCTTATGTATTAGGTCCTTGCATTCATTTCCTTCTGAATACTCCCAAGCACTAGAGAAAGTTCTCTGGTATCACTTGGTCCTCGATGAACTGCTTCCGGTCTTAGTTAATCTGGGAGTTCTCTACCCAGTGAATAAGAGGAACCACTTTTTCCTTTTAAGTATTCAGATTTAAAGGGCAATTTTCTCTTTTGACTAGTTGCACAACAACTGATTATTCAGGTACACTGATATGAAAAGTCTTTTGGCCACCTGTATGACAAGGAAGATGGAAAAGTCGCTAATATTGGGGTTGCGAAGAGGGGAAAGAAGAAAGACAAGGGAATTAGATTGTGCTTTAGGCATACAATGGAGTTGAATTCAATTTTGTTCTCTGGAGATTGCATACCTGTAGTTATTGCAGTAGTGGAAGTCAGACCTCTTCCATTTGCCACCTGAAATAAGATCTCATTTAAGAGCATAGGATAAACATGAGAAGTAAAATGTCAACCAAAGCTTGAGGAGGTAAAGGTCAAAGAGTCCTCTCTGCTGTTGTGGTTCCTCCACAGTGAATGTCTTTCTATGCACAACAGACTGAAATTATTAACAGGGAATTTGATTTTCTTACCTCTTCCTTTTCTCTCGTGCATTGCAGGATGCCTTTGTAGCCTTCCATGTTGACAAGGCGCTGGTGAGCAAGCACTTGAAGCCACTGCAGATCGGGGAGCTGGCCCCAGATCAACCCAGTATTGAGCCCACTAAGAATGTAAGTCTATCTTTGTAAATCAGATAAAGGGAAATATTCTGAGGAGAGACCTTGCTCTTCTGTATCAGCATAGCTCCTGGAGCAATGGGAGCCAGGTTCTTCACTTTTGTGTTACTGCTCAGAAACAATACATGCGTATTAGTCTAAATCCACATTATGTGGGTGCAAATGGGATTCCTGAAAATGATTTTTAATTATCACAGCAACTCTATGTGAATAACAGAGCCTTGTTTTGCTCTCATGGAAATCACAGCTATCCCCTTTTCTTCCCCTTGCTTTGATCAAAATTTGAGTAATTCTTTCTAGCTGATAGTAAATGTTCAACTCCCTTTCTTGTAGGTATCTGTAGGGAGAGACTGCAGGTAGAGTGTTTTAGCCCTGAATGATGTTTCACAGGCTGTATTGGCATTGCTGTTTTGGACAGCCCTCTTGTAGCTGTCCCAAGGCCATTCCCAGAATAATCATTCACAGAAGCACTGTTGACAGCAACGTGAGAAAACTTCATGAGAGAGGCACAGACAACAGAACAGGAATAGTCTTGGAGTACAAATATTCCCTGGGCTGTATGGTTCTTGTTGTTTCCTGCTATCCAAGACTATTTGTTTTCCCTATTCCTTATAGCCTGCCCTGCCTTTTCCTTTGCATAGCCCCACACTGTACAGTGAAGGAGGATGTAAGTCAGACATCAGAAACACAATTCAGAGCAGTCTGCCTGTCCCAGGATGGCACGGCCACACTTCCTATGTAGGTGGGAACCTCATAAACCCTCTTACCTTGGCCACGTCCTGCCTATTTCTCAATTCCATAGCTGGACTGCACCAGGGCTTGTGTGTACCTTGCTCCACGGAAACCCAAAGTGACTGGGAAAGCAAGGTAACAAGCTGGTTTGTGGGTTGGGCTGTACGGAGACCGGAATTAGGCTTGGGAAGCATCTGCAGAGCTGGCAAAGACAAAGATGGGTTGATCAAGCACCTTTGCTGTGCTCCTTTCTTCTTCCTTGGTGCTCACCAGCCTGAGGCCAGCTGGGCTGTAAATGTCATTTTCATACAGACCCTGTTAATCTCGGGAAGGGTAAAGTGAAGACATACATTCATCTACTGGAACTGGTCCAGAACTGGAATAACTTCATCCAAAAGAGCTACCACAAGGTGGCATGCTATGTTAAGGCACATGCAGTACAACTTCCACTCGGCACAGCTTCCATTTGAGCCCTATGCTACCTGCCAAGAAGATGATGGAGGAAGCACCAAAGATACAGTCTTAGGAGTCTGGGGTACAGACATTGTGCCCTGAGATGGCTGCCTCTTGCTACTCTGCTCTTTGTAGACACAGGGAAGCTGTAGGAGAGCAATGATAAAGCTTACTAATGTGCAAGCCCAGATCCTTTGCCCTTGCTCCCCTCCATTGCAGTAGTGCTATACACTAGAAACAGAGAACATGTAACACTGGTGCTCCCCACAGGAAATGCTGGTGAAAGACTTCCGTGAATTGCGTGCTACTGTTGAGAAAATGGGACTTCTGGAGCCAAATCAACTCTTCTTCTTCCTGCTCCTCACTCACATCCTCCTGTTGGATACCGCTGCTTGGCTCATCCTCTTCTACTTTGGAACATCCTTCATGCCCTTTGTTGGCTCTCTGGTGGTACTGACCATTTCCCAGGTAAGCAACTACGTTCATAGCACAGGCACATGGACTTGACTTGCACCAGCTTTCATACGCATACTACTATTGCAGTCATCTAGTCCTCCGTTTCCTTACTTGACATACTTCTTCGCCATAAGAAGACAACCACTATATGGCACGTGTATACAGATGATGTAAAGAAGGAATTCTGCATGTGGGGAGCTGCCATTAAACCTAGTCTGAGATTCTTTCAGCAAGATGTATTTGGGGGGAAGCCTTAAGAGTATCAGGATTTCATAGTTCCTTTCCAATTGTGACTTTGGAGCAATGTCTGAGCGATAGATCTCAGTATTTCAAAGCAAAGGATGGGTGTGGAACTGTCCTGATCTCAATTCCTTGTTTTTCTCCCCTCCCAATGTTTTCTTTTCCCTCTTCCAGGTCCAGGCTTCATGGTTGCAACATGATTTAGGACATCTTTCAGTATTCAGGGCAACCAAGTGGAACCACTTGCTGCATAAGTTTGTGATGTGCCACTTAATCGTAAGTACCTGATTACTACTACTACTTAGATTTGATGGCTTTCCCATAAAAGTGTGGGTTCTGAAGACTCTGGAGGACAGGGAGCTCAGCATTGAGTGAAGGAGCGGGATGGGAGGAAAGCTGGCTCTGAAGGCATTGCTCTCTTCACACTTTGTTCTTCACTAAAACAGGGGGCATCAGCCAAATGGTGGACTCTCCTGCACTCCCAGCACCATGCCAAACCCAACTGCTTCCAGAAAGACCCTGATATTGATATGCACCCTTTCCTGTTTACTTTGGGGAAGAAGTTATCTGTGGAGGTCAGTGTATGTGTGTGTGTGCACTCATGTACCAGGAGATGGGAAGAACTCCCTGGTCAACGAAAATCTGTGCCATAAAGATCTAAAACTAAGATGTGATGACAGGCTCTGGAAAGAGATTGCTTTCACATAAGGGCCTTTAAAGATTTCTTGAACAGCTGACAAGTAGTTGCAAATAAATGAGACATGATGAACATGCCTCATATAGGGTGGAAAATCCATCAACAAAAAGACTGTTAATGGTTATAGCACCTTAATGACCTGGTAGAACAACTCAGTGGCCTTTATCATCATGAAACTGTCACTCAAATGTACAGAATCAGAGAAGAAAGTAGGGGCAAGAGGAAAAATACATATGACTATTTTTGACTAATCATACAACTTAGCCTTGAAATATCTAATATTTTACAAAATGAAGTAGAACATGGTAAGAACACAAACCCAAGGAAATCCACCTGTTAAAACTCCCTCTATCCACCACCAAGATACTTTTTTATCATGACTTACAGATCACGCTATCTATGGATGAAAGGTTCTGGTATAGTTTTTAGTGCATCATTCTCTTCCAGCCTAGTCAATAGTTGTATCTTTCACAGCAGTTTCCTTCCTACCACATACCAATATAGGAGTTCCTTATGGGTTGCTCTGTTCTGACTTGTCATAAACATATTTGGAACTACTTTTTGGCAATCACTTATTTTCTCTTTCTGGAGAAAAAAACCTGGTGCTTGCTTAACAGTTTATCTCTGAAGGACTTTACAAAGCTGTAAGCCTTACTTTAATGGAATGAGAGTTTATGGTAAAGGTATGTGTGTAAGCTAACAGAACAGGTACAAAGAGGGAGACGATAGGAATGAGGGCTGTGGAAGTGTGCAAGAAGAGTGCCTCTGGGGAAGAAAGAATGGAACCCAGCAGGTTACCTGTGCAGTTTGCTTGGCTTCCACTCTAACAGTTTTGCTGTTTCTTTCCACAGCTTGGGATCAAAAAGAAAAAATACATGCCATACAATCACCAACACAAATACTTCTTCATCAGTGAGTATCTTCATTCTCCTGCAATACAATGAGGGGTATCAATGTCTTTTTACCTGCAGGATTTGAGCAGGACTGAGGTGTCCCCATCAAGGATCATAATAATCAATTTCCATCTAATTTTTGGAGGAACTGAAGACCTGAATTGATTAAAAACCTGAGTAACCTGGTCTAACCAAAGTATAGCTGCTGCTCTTCTGAGATCCTGAGCTGCTTTCCAGCCTCAATGACCTACATGACATCATGTTTCTGTGCCCTTCCTGATTGGAAACCCATTGATTTGGTTTGAGAATTCCTAACCAAATAGCTTAAGTTTGTTCCAGGGTAGAAAAAGTAGTGGGATCATCTTAAAACTGTGGTGCTTTGCATCTATTTGGACAGAGAAAATGAGAAAGACTCTTAATGCAGTAACTAAGGAAGTTACTTGGGAGAGTGAGATGAGGGCTGCAGGGACTGTTGGTGTGAGCTGGGTAGTACATGGCTAGTGAAAGCAAACACTCACAGTTTCTTCACTGTCAGTGCCTGATCTCTAGGCTCACCCCTGGCCTCTTCTTCCCATCTTGGTGAAGCTTTTATTCCTTTGGCAAAGCAGTGCAATTTCAACACGGGACAAGGCAAAGTCACCCCTTGCAACTCTCCAGAATAGCCTGAAGTCTCAGGATGCTTGCCTGGAAAGCGGACAGTGTGACTTCAAACCATAAAACCCAGCAGAAACGGGCACTTCCAAGGTGTGATTCATGCAACCTGGTTTTGCCCTTGATCTCTGAAGATGGCAGGAACTCACTCCAACAGTGGCTTTTCTCTCAGGTCACTAAACAGATCTACCAGGGTTAGTTCAGTTGTGCATAGCTCAGATGTACAATTCAGAGATGCCTAATTAAGGATGGTGATCCTATCCCAGATCTTCCACATCTTCCATGGTGGGTCTGGAAGATGTGGTATGACATTGTAATCAGTGGTATTCAAATTTAGATAATCGTCTGTGGGGTTGGTTTTTTTTTAAAGTACAAGTGAGATGTCCACTTGGAAGGTTGAGTTTGCATTTGAGTTCCCACAACCTAAAATCCATGGGAGGATTTTATATGTACTCCTATTGCTCCTCTGCTTTAAGTAACAAATGGGGAGCCAAATCACCTTTGGGAAGCCACTTCTCAAACTACTCCTCTGTGGCTGTCCCTCAGTTAAAACCCTAAAACGAAATCTTAGGTTTGTAATCACCATCAGATTAATGGACAGACCTAGAGATACTGATGTAGCATCCTGGCCAGTATCAGCCAGTTGCTCTCTTGCAAAGTGATTTGCTGTGATGCTCAGAAGGATTATTAAGTTTCTGGGGTCTTGTCCTCCTTATTTCTCAGGGTTCTACACGCTCCTTTTTGTTTTCACTCTTCTGAAAGAAGCAGTGGGCATAGCCTTTCTCCATGAGGAAACAGAAGGCAACGTACTGAGAGGTGACAGCAGCAGCAGGCTGTCCTGCTGAAGAGCAGGAGCTGTCCTCAGTCAAGCTTCAGAGAGTTTCTTGTCTTACCTCCGTTTTACCTCTTGAGGTCAGCAGGCTCCCATATTGCTCACGGATGCCCTGCAGTGATGCATACCGGTGTCATCCAGAAAATTCCATAGCCCTAAAACTTCTTGGGATATTCTCCATATTGAGTAACCATTGAAGGATCCTTTGCTTCCAGTTTATCTCTCACTCAGTCCATGACATTACCAGTGACAATGAGTTCTCCCTTACAGCTCTGCCTCCACTCCTGTTTCCCACCTACTTCCACTACCACACGTTTTACATCGCATACACAAAAAGGTACTGGGTGGTGAGTATTGCTGCTTGTGCAACCAAGAAGGGGTCAACTGCGGGCCTTCAACCTTTCCTCTGAACATAGAGCTAGCTTCTGCCCGGAGCTCAGCCCCTGCTGTGTGCCGTTCAGTTAAGCCTAACAGGACAGGTCAGTTTGAGGTTTGTCAGTGCCTCTGCATGCTTTCTGCTACACCATTATATTCCCCAGCTCAAACATAGGGTCCAGAAAACAAACGGCTGTTTTGGCTTGTACTCATTTGCAGAACGATGGAGTGTACCCTTTAGTTTGGGAAGCAAATTGGAAGGTCCACAGTGGTAAGAAACAGGAGGATATGGATTTATAGGAACTGTTGTCCTTGATTTGTAAGCAGTATGCATATACTTAGCATTATTTCCTATGCAGGCAGCCAGAATTACTGCTTTGTTCTTCCTTCTCTTGTGCATGTTATGCATGCAGGAAGACAGCAAACTCCAGCCACAATGAGATCATTGGTGGTCCAGGACTTAGCTCACTGTGGAGACCTGGGCAATGATTTGAGACAAGTCAACTCATGTTTCTGAATGCATAGTCATTCACTATTATATCAATGTAGATTACCAGCTGTAAATCCTCACATTCATCTATGTTATAGGAAGCTGTGAGTACTATCATCTTGTGTTAACTTGGATTGCTCCAGTTCTAGTTTTGCTGATTCAATTCAGCAAAAACTTACAAAAGCTAAATGTAGATTGTTCTCTGGTACATAGAACATGAAGCTTAGAAAAAGATTTAAGCAAATGTAATTTATAATGATTCTCTTGTTGGGTCTGCTTTTGGTAGGACTTGGCCTGGATGATGACTTTCTACATCAGATTCTTTTTTATTTATGGATCATTACTAGAAATAAAGAGTCTTGTGGCATATTATTTTATATTCAGGTAATCTCTCTTTAGAAAGTTCTTCAGCCTTCCTCTATATATTCTTTCCATCTGTGCTTGCCTGCCTTTCTCTGCCAGTTCAAGTCTTATGTCATCGCATTGGCTCTGGAGCAAAGAGACTTCACTGAGTGCTGTTAAATACTATAAAGTAATTCAGTGCTTTGGGTGTTGGGTCTGCTGCTGGTTAGAGAAAGAGATCATTTAACAGAAACAGCTTAGTCTGGGCTTGCAAGTGCTCCAGCAGCATTGGCTTAAATGGACACTATGCTCTTCTCCACTTGGAGCATTTTACTGATTTTAATCAGTGTGGTCCTTGGCTACAGATAAAACAAGATGAATACCAGGCTCCGACAGTTTTATAACAAACCATATTAAATAATCATGGGTTTCATAAGGAAGTATGAAACTTCCAGGTTTTGGAAGTGCTTCCAGGTGCTGGATTAGCAAGGCTGACATTCAGCTATGTGTTTGTAAGTCTGGTTGTGGTGTTATTTCAGTGGCTCATCACTGACTTGCTTACCTATTACTGAATTCTGGCCATTTGTCTGACTGCACAGGATGATGGAGAGCAGCTGGTTTGTCTGGGTTTCACAGATGAACCATATCCCTATGGATATTTACTATGACAAGAATTTGGACTGGATGTCTACTCAGGTAAAACATTTTCCATTCTTAAGAGTTGTGACCATACAGGTACAAATTCTAACCACAAGACGAGCAAGTTCTCTACTGCACTAAAGGTGAAAACCTGTTAGGAAGTGGGAAGTGAAGGTTAGTAGTATAATGGTATTCAGCTATGGTAACAGTAAATAGGATAGCAATGAGATGTTCATAGGCAATCTAAAAATCAAAGCTAGGTCCCAGCTCTATTAAGGTGTCCATGCTCATGGCAGGGGGAATGGAACTAGGTAATCTCTAAGGTCCCTTCCAACCCAAACTGTTCTATGATTCCATCCCCTAAATATACCCATCTCCTCACTTACTGCATCATTCCGTCTTGGACCTTTTCCCCTTACATGGAGATGGAAGTTTGTCTCCTGCTCTTGCAAGAGCAATTACACTAGTAGAATAGTAGTGTGGTGTCCCCTCTTTGCAGAGAGACTTACTGGAGTCCAGCAGAGCAGTCTGACCACACAGAAGTACTCTGCCATCTCTGCTTTTTCTGCAGACATAGGTTTGAGAAGACCCAGGAGGAACTTCTGACTGTTCACATGCACTTACAGGAGCACAGAGCCAACTCCTACTCTTACCATGGTCCATGTTAGTCTATGTACATAGACTATGTACATGTTTATGTGCATCCACAAAGCTGAAGGAGGATTATGAGCCCCGGCTTGAGGTAGCTCAGCGTAGGCTGAGAGAAAACAACAGAGTAGCACAGCATATTGTGCTCTTTAGAGAAAGGCTGCAGTCACCAACCTGTGCTGACTTTGCTTTCCTTTCCTCTTTGCTAGCTCCAGGCCACATGCAATGTTGAGCAGTCCCTATTCAATGACTGGTTTACTGGGCATCTGAACTTCCAGATTGAACATCAGTGAGTATGCACCCCAAAAGAGAATTTTCTTCCCTCTTTAAGTATTTTTCTTTTCTTGTTTTTCTTGTCCCTGTTCTTCTTTGCTCTGAATTCTATGAAGAGTTCTGGGGCATCAATGCTTTTGTCTTTTAAAAGGCTGAAAACCCTAAACAGGATCACAATGTAACTCAAAACCTTCACTAGACCTCACTAGGAAGGCGAGAATGCCAAGTGAAAAGTGAACATGGGCAGGACCTATGAAATCATAGATAGCAACAGGGTCTATCCAGAGCAGTACCTTGTAAGCATTAGTGAACATGTACATACTAAAGCGCTCTGATTATAGTCTGACACTGTAGTTTAAGCCTACCTGTACTAACTACTTATGCTATTACTCTAGAGACTGAGATACACAGGTGAAGAATGGGCTTGAGATTTTGTCTGTCTCCTGTTCACAGCCTGTTTCCTACAATGCCAAGACACAACTACTGGAAGGTGGCTCCTCTGGTGAAGTCCTTGTGTGCCAAACATGGCATCGAGTACCAATGCAAGCCATTGCTCACAGCTTTTGCAGACATCGTCCAGTAAGTGCAACACACAGGCCAAAGAATTGCAGGAGGATGTAGGCGAGATTGGAATACGAAGAACAAGAATTGTCTTGTTCTCTCACAAATCAACACACACAAACCCTCATTTCCCCTGTCCCCACCAATATTCTCCTAAGTAACCCTGCATAATGTGGCCTCCTGTGCTTTCTCTTTCTCTCAGCTCCCTGAAGAGCTCAGGAGATCTCTGGCTTGATGCCTACCTACACAAATAAGAAGATGATGGTGTCCACTTGGTGATGGTACCATTCACAGCCTGCCACTTCATTGCATTCCCAGCAAGCTGAGGACCAGGGACTACAAGGGACTCTATGGCAGAAAAAGATGGATAAGAACTGAAGGATATGATTCCAATAGATAAGAAGTTAATTGAATTTTGCTTCTGGTTTTGCCTGGTGTTTTGGTTCAGATATGTTAGGAGCGCCTTTTAGATATTTCTAGGTGATGCCTGGACAAACCCAAAGCACTAACAAAGCAATGGTGCACATCATAGGGCCCTCATAGACCACTGCAGGTCAATTAGCTGTAGGGTTAGTATTGAGACAAGGATTAGAATAACAGCTAAATTTAGAGTAAGGTTTCAGAGTTAGTGTGAGGCACTGGCTAAGCCAGAATCTGGGTCCAAAGCAGATGCACATTGACTAGGGCTCCCACATAGCAGTGGCCAGGAAGATATAAAACATCAGCTTACCCAAAGAGCTTTTGAAGCAGATCCAACAGCAGCTGGATTGCTGAGGCTTTCGTGCTTCCTGGTGTGATCCAGGGAACACCCACACTGTGATGGAGGAGGAAGGAGGAGCACTCTCACTGCCAGCTAGGGAACATTTTGCTCATAGGTGTATGAGTTGTGGGTTGTAAAGTTATGAAATCTTATGACCAGTGTGGTGAATAAGTGGATTCACATGCTAGAGCAGTCTAGGCAACAGGGGACTGAGCCCCTGTTTGCCATGGGGTTTTGTCATGTTTCTTAATGAACTCATGAAATAAAGTTTAAATCACAGAGCACACTGCCCTCTAACTTTGACAGACCCAAATGGACCCTAACACAGGGTAATTGAGCCTGACACAAAACACAATAGGTCTGAACCCAAACCCTAATGGTCCTAACCCTCAACCTGATACTAATAGGCCCTAACACTAAGCTAACCCTAACTGTAATGGCCCTAACCATAATACTAACTCTTAGGCCCTGACCCTAATAGTAACTCAAACCCAAATAGGCCCCAACTACAACACTGACCCTGAACTCCCCTTCCTTAGTGGCTGTAACCCAAACACCAATAGGTCCTAAACCTTACCTTAGCCCTAGCTTTGATGTCCCTAACCCTAAACATAATACTAACAGAGTGTAACACTAAGCATAACTCTAATCCTAATGACCCTAACCTAACCCCAACCCTAACAATTACAGTCACTAACCCCAAACCCTGATAGGCACTAACTCTAAGATCAATACTAACAGGCCCTAGCCTAAACCTAACCCTAATGGCTCTAGCACTAAACCTAATCCATTGAAACAGATTTGAGAATTTTTTAACCCAATATAGTAAAACACAATTTTTACTTCCTGTGCCTTGATACATAGTTACTGGAGCTCATTCCTAGTGTATAGTTACAGAAAGTCACATCATGTTCCTGAGCATCCTGGAAAGTCTTGGGAGGCAGTAAGCTTCCTTGCTTCCCGGTGACGTTTACAGCTCTTAAAATGAACCTGAGAGTTAGGATTACAAATGCAATCAAGTGACACAGGTGGGAGAAGAAAGCAGGGAAAAGGGTGAAGCTGTATAGTTGCTTTGACAAGCCTGGCTTGCAGGAACAAGTCATGTGAACTCATCATGATGCAAAGCTGCTTAACCCAGACTACATCCTGGCTACCTTTTGAATCAGCATCACACAAGGCTGAGTGCTGGCCATTTATATATATATAAAAATATATTTTTTATATATATATTAAATATATATATATTTGGACTCAAGCAAGGCCACATAATGTAAGGGAACAAAAGAATCAAGGTTTTAAGTGAGACATGCACTTTTGTGTGTTAAAGCTTATTAAGATAAGACTTATTAAGCTCAAGCTTATTAAAGCAGCTTTGAGAGTTGAAGAGTAAACTGAATTATGGATGGACTCAGAGTTTGGCTCTCCCAGGCAGAAGGTAATTCAGAGAAAGAGGCTAATCTGAGTACTTTGAATCACCCTTGAGAGGAGGCAGTATCTTTCCATCAAACAGTAAGAGAGTGTGTTCTTTATCTGAAGTGAGTATGATCGGGAATGTATACTCAGACCCTGAAAGAGAAGACTGACTTTGGGAACACAAAAATCCATTTGAGCATCAGCAATTAAGATCACTTTCTTACAATAATGAAAGTGATGAGGTTAATAAATAGAGATCTCACCTGGTAACAAACAAAATATGAGAAAGCCTCTGATTAGATAATGACTGGACTTTGTATTGTTTGTGCAAGAATTGAATTACACGTGTCATGCTCAGCACCAACTTTTACTTAAAACCTTTAACCCAGTACAGTGAACCAGAACACGTAAAAGATTTCTTATTAAACCATTTTCTGCTTGGAAAATGTGCAATGCTGTTTAGAGGTTAACAGCATGAAGTAAAATTCCCAACCCAGGAGAGTAAAAGAAGCGATTCCTGAAAACTTTATGGGAGCAAAGAAGGACACAAAATGCTATCAGTTATTAAAAAACACATTTCCACTATTTTAAAAAGCCTTTTAGAATTACCTTGAGTAGCTGAAAATCATTTCTGTGGGTAGATGGGAAGCTGGATTTTGAAGACCAGCATCTGATACCTGGACTTGGGGAATCATTTGGCTTCTCGTGCTCTCTCAAGTCAAAAAGCAAGTCAAAATGCACTTAAAAACCCAAAAAGCTGCAAATGTTTCCATTAACGGGGGCCCAACAGTGTGCAAATGAGGAAAATCATGCAAGAAGGTTGAGCAAGACTGAGATGAAGAGCTGTAGATAAATGCAAAATAAAGCCTAAGCAATATGGATCAACACCAGAGCAAATAGTTGTTGTCAGATTTTCTCCAGGTATCTCCAACCAATCTTATAGCATGGTAGATAGTATTGGTTTAGATGAAAGGCTGCCTGTATTACCTCAGGATGATAATTAATAGCTTGGTGAGATTTTACAAGGTAGATATCACTGAGAGAACCAAGGAAGGAAACAGATAAAAATACATTGCACAACCTAATAGAAAAGCATGAAACCAAAATGACTCATATAGAGGTTATGATACATGAAAACAGAGTGGAAGTAAAATCAGCAGCACCACCACTGGAGAATCTTCTCTAAACATGAAGAAGATAGAAATAATATAAAATATCAACCAAATATTCTAAAATTCAGCCTTTAGTCCTGTAACTCTGAAATGTAAATTCCATTAATTTCCAATGATTGTATCTTGCAATCCAAGGTCCAGGACAGGCAGCTTTTATCAGTAATAATATTGAGTTTGAATGAAAAATGAAGCATTTTTTCCAATATCTCTCTGGAAAAGGGTTTTTCAAGAAATATTGGTGCACTTGACAAATTTCATTTTATATATGGCACCTCAAATTAATAACTAGATATTAAGTAAATTAATATAATAATTAGATATTAAGTAAATTAAGCACAATCATAGTCTTCTGTGTTATAAAGCTGAATGGTACATAATAAAACCCCCTTAATCATAGAATAGTTAGGGTTGGAAAGGACCTTAAGATCATCCAGTTCCAACCCCCCTGCCATGGGCAGGGACACCTCACACTAAACCATGTCACCCAAGGTTCTGTCCAACCCAGCCTTGAACACTGCCAGGGATGGAGCATTCACAACCTCCCTGGGCAACCCATTCCAGTACCTCACCACCCTAACAGGAAAGAATTTCTCCCTTATATCCAATCTAAACTTCCCCTGTTTAAGTTTTAACCCGTTATCCCTTGTCCTATCGCTACAGTCCCTAATGAAGCGTCCCTCCCCAGCATCCCTACAGCCCTTCAGATACTGGAAGGCTGCTCTGAGGTCTCCACGCAGCCTTCTCTTCTCCGGGCTGAACAGCCCCAATAATCTTTAAACAACTGCTGTATCTATTAAAATGCTGACAGATCTTAGCCAAACTTTTTATAGTATAATCACTGTTTATTTCATGGAAGCACTGAAAGCATTCCTCATCCCGCAGTCCTAAGAAACTTGCACATATGCACCTATCAGAGGCAGAACTTCACTAAAACACTCTTATAACTTATTTGTTTTAAATCTAAAGAAAGTGCTGCATTTAGGAAAAGCAATGAGCATCCAAAGCACCTTGGTCTCTGCACACATGCAACGAGCAAGGAAAAAGGAGGAGTGATTTCCTCATTCTTGCTTTTCCAACCTCCAAAGTTTAGGCACTGTCCAGACCCTGAAGACAGTAAGAGAACTACAAATAGGCAGAGCCCCATGCTTTTATCTCCTTTGTATGTGCCAATTTTGGTTTTTTCCCCCTCACCCCAAGCTACACAAAAGGTAACAGCAGGCTTATTGCCTTGTTTAACAGAAATATTAGAAGAAAAACGTGCAAGCGACTCAAAACATGTTAGGCTTCTGTTAAAGATTACGCCTTTAGGCAGAGCAGGTATTGTGTAATTTAAAGCAGCACTCATTTGGCCAGCTTCCTTGCCAGGGCTTAGGCTCCTTCCACTTGAGCAGAGGCAGTTGGAACAGGTCATGCAGACCTCTGCTCAGGCAGGGGGCCAGCCATGCACCGTTTGGGCAGACATTGGCTAAAGCAGGCAACAAAAGATGGTGTTTGGTCAAACAGGCAATTTACTTTGCATAGTCTCCTTTAATCTATTATATCAAGGCACTGCTAATGTGAAGAAACAACATGTTTCATGGAGTTGTTTTCTAAAAGTGAGGAGGAACCAAGAGAAGGCTGGATGTGATCAACCAGGGTGAAGTACCTGCAGAGGACTGAATAAAGCACGCTGAAGGGAAGGCAAGAGATGGAGGTTTGGGTTCAGGTCTCCCGGTGGTCTGTCTCCTGGACACCCTCACAACCTTGCATACCACCACAACATAGAAAAGGAGATGCCAATTTCCACAAGAACTCAGTTACCTGCTTCTTCACACACTTCCAATGGCAACCCCAGCAGCATCTGAGAGTGAAAGCCAGGCTTTAAAGCTGAAGACTCACCTAGCTACCACCCCCAGGGAAGGCTGCCTTAAGGCTTTTGTATTTTCATTCTGTTTGGGGAGTGTTGCAACTGCAGCTTAGTCTGTAAACAGTAGCTCCCATTATCCTAATTCCTCAAGAATTCTTACAACATCTATGCACAAGGTGAACGAGAGATTCCTGAGACTTAAGTGAGGAAAATAGGAAAGAGATTATCCTCCTCCAGCTATTTATTTGTAGAAGACTGTATCTGCTTGTGTGTCAGTGCTGTTGCTGTCAATCCTGAATCAACAATCACTGTGAAACAAGGCGGGGGGGGGACATTCAATAAAAAAGTAACAAAGATCCCAATATTGGTCAAAGTTTTAAAATGGTGAAATCACAGGCATGAGGGAAGAACAAACACTGAAGTTGACACAGCAAATCTATATAAAACATTTGTGATTTATCACCTGCTACAACACAGGAAATTAAGTTTTCCTTCTGACTTGTCCCATTATAGCTTTACAGTATTTGAGTTGAACTTTGATTACAGCAACCGAGCTGTAATCAAAATGCCTTTTATAGCCTTGTAATGATTTGAATGAGGGGGATTAAGATCAAGGTGAACATTCCTGAGGCTTTCAAAAGCCTACGAAGACACTGCATGATCTTCTGAAAATAAATGCAAAGTAACTGGTGCCTAATGATTTCTTTCAAGGTAAAGAATCATACACCAATGGTGATACATCGCAAAGAGCAATGCATTGTCATTTAATGTAACAGGCTGCAACACTGAGGATGAAAAATATCACAATATATAACAGTACAAGACCTGGTTGCTTTGGTAAGCAGTATGC